AATAATTCAACTTCTCCACTCCCATCCTAAGGAAATGAGAAATGTAGACAAAGATTTTTATACAGATGTTAACTTCAAACAAAACTTCACAGCTTCATAACAACCCACTGAATCAATGCATCGAAATGAACTTAGTCATTCTCCTCTATCACACATTTAGATGACTTCTAATCTTTATATATTACAAAAAAACACATATATGTACATACAGAAGGAAGGAAGGGAGGACAGGGAGAAGGAGGAAATAAATATATAGCAACTTGATGTGACTTTTTCATATTTTGGATCATTTCCTAATATACATTCCCATAAGTCATCATATAGCATCTAAGAACATCTTCATAGTTCTTAATAGCTAACCTGTTTTATGAAAAGTATAGTATCCTTTCACATGGCCATGAGCCATGTATGATGGTATAGATTGTACCATCACCACTGTACCTGTACCTTCAGTTTTATCCTATAGCTAATTTTTAACAGCTTTACTGAGATATAATTTACATACTATAAAGTTCACCCCTTTAAAGTATACAACAAGTATAGTGTATTCACAGAGCTATGCAACCACCACCATAACCCAATTTTAGAACATTTTTATCGTCCCAAAAAGAAATCCTAAACCCATTAGTAGTAACTCACTATTTTTACCCCCAACCCCCAATATGGCTAATTTTTGTTAACTGATCACCCTATGATTGTTCCATGCTTTCTTGTAGATATCTTTCTTGTAGATTATCTATGCAGGAAATCCAAATATTTCACCTCAAAATATTACTTCTCTGACCTCCTTTTAGATGGCTGTTCAGAGAGCCTGCAAACAGAAGTAGCCCTGCAAAGTTGTGTTTTGAGAGAGAGATTTGCTTCTGCAGAGAAAATCTACATCGGCGAAGCCAGATTTTCTCTGAGGCCTTCCCTAATCTGCATCTAGAAAAGATTAACTGAAAATCTGACACTTTCAAAGGTCACAAAGAAACATTTACCACCAATTCTCTCCAAAGGCTACTACCAGTGAGGTTTCATCTACACAAGACCACCTTTGCCACCCAGGCCTCTCCCATAACCTGTTTTGTCAGGATCCAAGCCCACATACCTTCTGTAACCTCAAGATGGTATACAAGTTTCTGCACTCCACTGGAGGGATAGCGTGATCACTCTGTGGTTCTCCCCTCTGTGCACATTAATAAATTTGTATGCCTTTTCTCTTATTAATCTCCTTCTGTGAGTTAATTTTTCAGTGAACTTTCAGAGAACAAAGGGGAAGTTTTCCCTTGGCCCCTATACCTTAATGACATTACATAACTGTTTCAAACCCATGAAATAGAATGATTTCCTCTGCTATTTAGATATTTGTTTCTAATTGTGAAATGTTTTGCTTCTGTAAAAAGAAAATAAAAATCTCAGGGCTCCCCCTCACCAACTCCTTATACAAAAGAAAAAGTAAAGGCCTCAGGTACCTGTGAAGAACTGGCCCTATTCATTAAGGAAATTCCTTGGTGACCTCCCATAAGCAAGGACATGCAAATTGTAACTAAGTGTAGTACCTAAAACTAAATCCTGTTCAATTCCACACTAATAATGAGTTACAAGTATATCTTCAGAGGTAACAAAACTGGAAACAAGACAGAATCAGACATTTCTTCCATCTACCCAGGGACATCTACATAATTGATGCTTCCTTCACTTCCTTTTTCTCTTCTAATATTCCCCTTATTTTATGTAAAATGTAAATTTCCTGGGCCTCACAAGAATATAATAAATTTGTCTCATCAGCTCCCTCTACCCCTTTTTCTTTCTCTCTATATGCCTTTAAATGCTGAAGGTTCCAACTTCCCCTTTGGAAAAAAATAGCCACATCTTGTCTGTGATTTGTGTTTTTCCCAGGTGTGTCCTCAACTTTGGCTTAATAAACCTCCATTGATTGAGATTTTTTTTTCACCTTAGTCATTTACTTGGGTCAATACTTCTTTTTTTTTTTTTTTTTTTAGACAGAGTCTCACTGTCTTGCCTGGGCTAGAGTGCAGTGGCGTCAGCCTAGCTCACAGCAACCTCAAACTCTTGGGCTCAAGAGATCCTCCTGCCTCAGCCTCCCAAGTAGCTGGGACTACAGGCATGCGCCACCATGCCGGGCTAAATTTTTCTATTTTTAGTTGTTTGGCTAATTTCTTTCTATTTTTAGTAGAGACGGGGTCTCACTCTTGCTCAGGCTGGTCTCAAACTCCTGAGCTCAGGCAATCCTCCCGCCTTGGCCTCCCAGAGTGCTAGGATTACAGGTGTGAGCCACCATGCCCAGCCTACTTCGGTCAATACTTCTTAACCATAGGAAATGTCAGAATGGCCTCTTGTTCTTTCACAAGGTACTTTTTAAAAGGAAAGGCATAAATTAAGAGCTAAGAGAAGAGAAGTATCATATAAGCACAAAGTTATCCATTCTTTCAAAACTAGTGGCAACTATCATTTGTAAGGGTAGAAAAACATCTTTACCTCCCCCATCCTAGGTTCATGGTTGAGACCCCTATAAAAGACAGAGTAACAAGAGAAAAGCATACACATTTATTAATATAGGTTTTATGTGACACAGGAGCCTTCATAAGGAAATAAAGACCCAAAGAAGCACTGAAATCTATGTATTTTTATTTTAGGTTTGATGAAGGGTAGACAGTTGTGAAGAAATATGATAAGGCAAAAAGTATGATCTAATGGTTTAATAAACTGGTGGAACTTAGGCCTGTTTGTTCAGATTCTTCTCTGTGACCCTTCATCTTCAGAGATAAGGATACTCCTCTCTTCCAGGTATAGGGAGGGCACTTCTCACATCAGGGTCTTATAAACCTGCTTCAGGGGAAGGTCAAAAAATTCTTCCTAGGTTTTATGACCTGCTTCAGGGAAGAAAGGTAGGGGAAAGGTCAAAGTAACCTTTCTGATTCTACTGTTTTCTTCAGTATGTCAAGGTGTCATACTTTAGGGTAGCCTGTCCTGAACCCCCATTACTTTAGAAGTCTATTACTAAATCCCTCAAAATTGTTACACAAAAGAAATTTCTTAATTTTAACTGGGCTAACTTGATCTAATAATAAAATTTAAAGTGCAATGCAATCTATATAAGATAACATTTGACATGTAATCTAAAATACTATCATAATGCTATCAAAAAAATGCTTTTATTTAGCCAAAGCACTTTTTTCTCACATCAATTTTTTTGGACTGCAGGTGTATAGAATTTAGTAATTTGCTTTTTGGGGATTTAGGAAGGGGAAGTAAATTGAAAATAACTAATTAAGCAAAGATGATCTAGGTGTCTTAATCAGGTCATATGTATTTTTAAAGAACAGCAAAAATCAGATCTAAAAACTGAAGGTTGGAGGAAATACTTCATCAGCAGATTTTCATTTAAATCATGGCTCTTTCTGTCCTCTTTTCACCTAACTCTAGACATCTCCATATCACATAAATAATCTAAACATTCTTGTTACTCCAGTTAAGCAATTCTCCATTCCAGCCTAGTGTTTTATTTCATATCACCTTAGTTACACAAAACATTTATTTGCACATCACCACCAAAAATATCCATGATGCTATTGGTATGACCAAATTCAACTATTCCTTGTCTTTATCTCTATGTATGAAAAACTTGAGTTCATACAAATGAAATTATACTTCCAAAATAAAGTTTTCTCTTGTCACTAAGGAAAAATCTAATATAGGTAGCCTCTTTAATGCAATAGGTTAAACAATAAACTCATAAAATATGAGTCCAGAAAGAGCTAAAATATTAGAAAATCCTTAATTATATGTTCTGCAGGTGGCACATGAGCACACATACATACACACACATAGTCACAAAATCACACAAGCAAGTGTCACCATCTGGCTTCCTGTTCTCAATCCAGCACTACTAGCTCCTCTACCACCCTGTCATGGTGCAGTGGGAGAAGTTGGGTTGTAAATAAGAATTTTCCTACACCAACAGCAACAGTATACATAAGCAAGCACTGAACTCTGGTGATTCTGGAAGCTCTGAGACTGGGTGGGCACAATGCAGGTAGCATTTTTGCCTGTTAGAAAAAGTAACCCCAACGTGGAAGGAAATCAGCTTTATTGAGCCAGTATTTGGTAAAGGTGATACCTTTGTGAAATTAAGAAAAGGCACTCCTTCCTCTGGGTAGATTTATTCCAAGCCAGGCAGTACGGCTTGACAAGCAGGATCAAGTCTGTATTTCAGCCCCCATGAGCCCCCTCTTCTGGCTCCCCTTGTGCAGAAACAACCCATACAACCCTATGCAGCAGCCCTGGAGGAAGGCGGTGAAAGACACAGGCCCAGCTACAAATAATGATAATAATTAGTCACTGTTCCATAATTGCTACTCTGGAACCACATATCTGGTGGTCATAAAGATTCTTTATTCTCTCCATAGATAACATCACCTTTTCAAAACTAAATGTAAGTTCTGAGGTATCTTCCAGGCCCCAAATGCCAGTGGATTGGCTGATCCACCCAGACCAACAGCCCATACCAAAAAACTAACTCAACTGGAATTGTGACCCCAGGAACTGAAGCAATATAAGAAAGATGATTTCTACCCCCTTATAATTTTGCCCCAAACCTAGCCAATTAGCAAACCCAACTGCACAATCCTTTGCCCACCAAACTATCCTTAAAAACCCTGTCTTCCAAATTCTCAGAGAGGCAGATTTGAGAAATTCCTCTCGTCTCCCTGCTTAATGCTCTGTGGAATGGCATCCTTTCTCTATTACAATCCCGACTGTCCCAGTGTATTGGCTCTTCTCTCTGCAGCGGGCAATACAACCCAGTTGTGCGTTAACAATAGGGTAGAGAGTTTTCTTTTTTTATTATTTTGCTTGGGTTTGGATACAAAGGTTCCAATAAAATATATATTTTAACTCTCTCTTATATTCAAACCACATAATCCTCCATTTTTATATGACCAAATATTCTAAAGCTGTCACTTAAAATAGCATGTTCATGATTAAAAGCAAACTACCTTTTACACCACCAAATGATCCATAAGTCATATTGCAGGCTGTTCTCTGAAGATTATGTTCATACATCAATTTGATCTGATATTGGTTCCCATGTTCCACATTACCCAAGGTTCCTGAGGAGAAAAAAATAAAAGAATTACTTTCTATTTGTTTACATTAAAAAACATTAATTTGTTCTCATCCTCTATACCAATTCCAAGTAATTTAATTTCAGTGAAATTTAAGATGACAAAACACTAAAATATTACTTATTATGACCAATTAGCATACCAATGACACAGAAAGCCAGCACAGTTAAAACCATTTACGTCTCAGCTAGATGATAACACCATTAGATGAAATAAATACAACTACCCTGGGGAACATTTTATTATCTATTTCTATTAGATGGATTATGTCTGAGTAAAGAGTAATTATTTAAATAACAACAAAACCCTCTAATTTTAGTTCTGAAATAAAAGAGGTTAAGTTCTTTGCATTTATAAACACTAACAGAGCAAAGAAATAACTAAAAATGTCTAAGAAAAAAATTCCCAACACTTTGAAGCAATTAATGTTCCTACCCCAACTCTCAAAATACTCAAGCCCCTAGTTACATTCTAATTTAATGAAGGGATTTTCTAAGCTTCCCTAAGCAAGTAAAGAGGAGAATGTGTTTTATTTGAAGTCTGTCAAGAAGAATCTCCTTCAAAACACAGAAAAATACTCTCTCTGCATTTAATAGATTGTATGTGCTACAATCACTTTCTAGTTCTTTCCAAATGAGAAAAGAATCTTTGTTCATATTTTGTCTTTAGTGTTTGGCTTTTGAGAGTACTTGCCTGTGATCAGGCAAGAATATTATGATTAAAAGAGGCAACGGAAAGAAAAAGACTCAGAAAGCAACTTCTTCCATAAAGAAGCATCTTTGTCATTCATTCATTCATTCAAAATGCAAATGTTAAAGAAAATTTTAAATTATCATAAAGCAAATGAAATAGCCCTCAAACTAGTTAATATTCGTTCATTAAAACAAATATACATGTGTATATGTATATATTTACATAAGAGCATTTCTTTGTTTGGGATTTTTTTGAAGAATTTACCAACATACACTGAGGTTGTAACCTGTTCCCTGTTTTTCAGTGGCCCATTCTGAAATTTTCCTGCCCATTTCTTGCTATGTTCTTAATGAGGAAATACTGACTTTTACCTCCTTCTTTCCCCCAAGCACTCCCATGCACAAGTTTCCCCTATCTAATTGCGTGCTTGGTTAGAAGATCCAGAGACTGAGTCTTGAAACAATCCAGACCTCCACCACGAGATTACCTCAAGGCCACAGTTAATCTACAGATAAACAGCCTTGGAGATAACAGCCAGCCCATTCCCCAGGTAGAGCAATAATTTAATATCAAGACAAGTCACACTGACCAGCACCTCCTTGCCACTCCTGCATGCCCTTCATACCAAATTCCCTTTTTAAACCCCTACCCTCAGCCCAAGACTTCAAAATGGTTTCTTTGAGGCATGAGCCTTGGCCATTTCCCCACCACTAGCTCTAGAATAAAGTCATTTTCCTTTCATTACACCTTATCCTTGTTATTGGCTTTTG